TGTTCTAAGCTGTCTTCCCAATATGGATTGGCGATTTTATTAAACCCATCCGGTAAATCGGTGTGATTTTTTTGAAAATGTTTGCTGAGAATTTTAGTATTACATAAATGGTTGCGCATATCGGACCTGAACAATTCACAACCTTTACTCACAAAAGGGACATCACTAGATCCATCAACAAACCAGGTTTCGGAAACACAAACTACGTCAACATTCGATCCAGCCAATTACTAGGCTTTGAGCGTTTATATGGACAATCTTAATTCCCTTGACTATGATAGTTGGTCGTCCTCGCTTTTGGGCCAGAGGTCTCCATGAGGCCTTTCCTCTCCGGCAGCATATTGTTTTTCTTTATTGAGTTAAGTTATTGTGTTGACGTGTTTAAGTTGAAGCGCACCAAAAGATGTCGCGAAAGCGACTACTATATATATCCGCGGAGTTCTGCTGTTAGGGTCCGATCGGTACCAAGAGACCAACGTAAACGACACCAACTTAAATGTATTGCAAAAACTAAAAGGATTGCATTCCAAGATAGTCAGAAAATCAATTGGATAGAAAATTGGTTTTGTTGGGGCCCTTGTTGACTAATGCTTCATTTTAGTTTTTTTTTAAGTCCTGTTGAATATGAGGGTCGAATGTGTGATCCAAAATTTCATTTAAAATGTAAATCGTTTTTAAAGGGTTCTGGAATCATTTAAACGGTGCACACTGGGCCAGAAAGTTTATTTTCTGGCCAAAAATCTGTAATTTCTTTCCAGGGATAGTTAGAAGGATACAGTTTTTTGCATTTTTCTCTTAAAAGATTGAACTTTTCAAGGAACTACAAGTAAAATTTATTGGATTTTTATATGGTATAGATAATCCAAGCCAAATCGGAAATTTTTACGTACTTTTCGGTTTCTTATTTTTATAAAAATAACTAGAAGACGCACTCAATCTATTTTCATACACGATTAGGTATGAGAGAAAACAAATTCAATTGTTACTTTCGGAGGCTCCCACTTCAACGTTTATTTAATAATCGACCTAACAAAATTTTTTATTTTTTTCTTCTTGTTATCTCTCTAGATTACTATAATCAAATTTTTAGAAAAAAATTGTTTGAAAATATTGTTTTTTAATTTGTTTAATGTTAATTTGACATATTCTAAAGTAATTACAAAAGTATGCTTCATTTATTTATTTATTTAAGATCATAGTAAAGTTTACAAAAGGAATACTAACAAAGAGGGTGTATTTATGCTACATTTATATTTGTATAATATATTTTATATATATTTTATATATATTTTATATCCGAAGGAAGTGCCAGAAATGAAACATACCTTTAGGCATACTTAAGTCCTCCTTTGTGAATGACGAACCAAAAAAGGTGATATTTGTCTTTTCGAAATATCGATATTTCATTCGGTTGTTTGGTTTCAGAAATAAAAGAAGCGGGATGAACGAAAAAAAGTAGATTTTAGATGTTAGGCAAACTAATCAAATATTGGCGCAAAACGTACATTAAAACCTCAAGAAAAAAAAGTACGGCATACTTTTGGGAATTCTTAGTAAAGCTCGTTAAAATGGTTCAATTAAAACTAAAATTACTGAAAACTAAGGCAAAACCGCATCGAGTCGGCGATGAGCGATTTTTGTAAATTAATCAACGAATTTATTTGTGATGTAATAACTCCATTTGGGGATGGCACTCGAAAGATCTCGAAAAGCAAAGTACTCATTTGCTGAAAAAAACAGTAAAAATCAACGAAAACGTTTCTTTTAGGAAACAAGTAAGACATACGAGCTATTCAATATTTTTTACTTGTTGAAATTATTGACTCCGAAAAGTTTTGTGAAGAAGTCGAACAGCTACATCAGCATCTTTGACTTCTAGATTTTTTTTTATTTTCATCAACATCTGACGAATTTTTTACTTTAAAAATACGGTAAAAGAAAACTACTTGCCCGAGTTCTTTGAAACTTTGGCATAAATTAGTTTAATGTATAATAAAAAGGACCTTATACTATATAAAGTATACTACATTGTATACACATTTTTTTTACCCTAAATAGTGTCATTTTGACAACAACTGTGGGTACTTCGATAATGATCAAAAGCTTTTTGGATTGTTCGAGTTTCGAACTGTGCTTAAGTATGGGTTGTCATGGCATTTGAACTAAATACCCGCAAGAAACGTTGTGCGATAGACCAATTGGTAAGGTTTCTGTCTCTGATGCGAAAGGTCCCCGGTTCAAGTACGCGCTATAGACCCACCAAGACTTTAAGAAAATGAATTGGTTTGGAAGAAGGAACAGTTAAAGTGTAAAAGTGATAATTTTTAAAATGTACTGTTAATATGCTTAAAATTATAAAAGGTAAAGCTTATACGCAAAACAAGACTTTGAGGAAGTTCTCAAAATTTTAATTTTATTTTGGTTGTCAGCTTGACTCAAAAAGTGGCTTTCGAGTCCTGAAAATTTAAGGTGCTTTTAAACAGCGTAATATAATATACTTTAGTTCTACCACTTTTAGAAAACCTAGCGAGGTTTGGCGGGAAAACAGCTAAAAAAGCTAAATTACGTAGGCCCGTAACTTGTGAACTACTAAAGCTACAGTCTTGTGCTAAATGTCGTTGGATATGTATTTTGTAATACTGTGTACGTCTGCCTAACATGACACGCTGCAATAGAATATGCCAGTGTCGGCAAAAAGCTCCAATACTTTGCTGAAGCGTGCCAATTAAGAAAATTTAAGGAAGTGTATTTATTAAGTCGAGTTTATAATAATTTTTCGTCACAAAATTGTTTTTCAGTAGTTTTGTATGTTGAAGGTGCGATCGACACGACCCATTACCTCGTTAAGAGGTGGTTTTGTTTAATATCCCTCCAATATGGTTTCAAGTAATAACACGCAATGATAGTCCATTCTAAAGTGGCCATTTTTGAGGTTTCGATTCGTTCATAGAATACTGTATTCCGGGCTGGTTAGTGATTTGGGTCACATATAATGGTTGCCCCATTGCTGAGGAAGGATAAGTTGCATTGTTTGTAAAGTTAGGTTATTTGTAAGCCGTTTTTGGCTGGGAGAGATTTCACGCGTTTCCCAAAGTCGACAAGTCCGTCTAGCCATGTCCGTCTGTCTGTTTGTTCATCCGTATGAACTATAATGGCTAGAAAGTCGGGGTTAAGCTGAATTTAGGAGTTTTTACGCAGCGAATTATATAATAATTCGAGCCTTCTTTTGGGCATTTTTAGTAAAGCTCGTCAAAATGGTTCGACTTAAAATTAAGCCTTCAATTAAAACTAAAATTGTACTGAAAACTAAGGCAAAACCGCATTTTGTTTTAGAGTAAATTTAAAAGTTATGACTAACTAAGTTAATAAGGTAACAACGCCTTGCACGATCATAAACGATAAACGCCCTGGATCTCTCTTTAGATAACAAAACCTCTACCTGTATGATGTTTTTACATTAAGAATTCATGTTTTTTTTCCGCATATCGAACTTTACTGAAACACCAATGAATGTATATATCAAAAGTATTCACACAAAATAAAAGTTAGCAAGGAAGAACACTATAGTCGAGTACCTATCAGATACCCGTTACTCAACTAAAGTGACCAAAGGGAAATGGAGATATGCAAGCAGCAAAGCGAGATTAAAATACGCCACCTACCGGCGGTAGACAGATTTAAGCGTTATGGGCGTTAGAGTGGGCGTGGCAAATTTTTTTTTGGATCAATCGATATGTATTGACAAGACCAATACATTTCAGTTTTTTATCTAGCATGAAAACTGCGGGCGTCACAGGTTTGGTCGGCTTGTGGACGTTAAAGTGGGCGTTTCAAACTTTTTTTTGAGAACAATACCGATAGGTATTGATGAGAACAATACCGATAGGTATTGATGAGAACAATACATTTCAGTTACAATTTTTATTATAGCATCAAAATTGTAAAAGCCCCAGTTTTGGGCGGTTTGTGGGCGTTAGAGTGGGCGTGGCACATTGCTGAAACAAACTTGCGCTGCGCACGAATCTCAGAAATCTGCATGCCTAATCCCAGTATTGCAGCTCCTATAGTTTCCGGGATCGCAGCGTTCATACGGACAGACGGACATACTTTATGGGGTCGGAAACGAATCTAGTATACCCTTTTACTCTACGAGTAACGGGTATAAAAATATTCATAATTTGAACTTACTTCTTGTAATGATAAAAGATTACTGTGTAAACTTTTTTCCTCGTCTGGAAAACTAAACTTCTTTGTTGCTAAAAGTTTCATAAAAAATATAAGCCAAACGATTTTTCAAAAATCATCCATGCAGTTACTATTAGTTTTGTTTGGAGGAACTTTTGGCATCAACAAATTTTAGTTTTCAAGACGAGTAAAAAGTTTAAAAAGAAGATTTTTACAAAAATTCGACATTTTCATAAAGTACTGAATGGGTTAAGAAACGTCTGTATCATTCAAACGGAATTTAAATGACATTTCCTTGATGCCAAAATGTACATTAAGTAAGTTCAAAGTATGAGAATTTTTAACTTTTCTTTTGGGTAAATACCATTGACCACCGCTGTATATATAAATATATGTATGTATAACGTATGTTGTACCTCTATTTTTGATGGCAATAAATAGATACAGACAATTATATAAGCGCCTTGTACATTATATACAATTACAGTTGTAACTAATTTGTTACATGTATTTAGACAATAATATCATATGTACATAAATATGTACAACATGTAGTACATGTTAGGTACATATGTACATAAATAAAAAACTTGCAGTATTTGTTTTGTAAATGTTCGCCGTGTAAAGCGACAATTAATTTCAGAAAACCAAAAAAGTTTAAAAGCACTTCAGGATATGGCTCTCGCTCTCATTCGTGAAGGTTTTTTTAGTTGTCATGCGCACGGAGTTGAGCTTTTCATGCGAATGACACGACCCAGCTCTTATAAAAAAATGTATTCGACGTGTTTTCATTGGCATACATAAGTAGCTCGATATTAACTTATACGAACGTATTGTTTTAAGAATAAATTTGCTTAAAGCTAAAATATAAACTGTTCTTTTTGTAAAATTTAAAGGAAAGACCTTAGTTTGTTACAATAATAAATACATGCACTTTTGCAAGACCGTTAGTAAACAGATAGAACTTCAACTATTATGTTTTAGATATCAGTTTGGCCTCTGCGTTACCCTTTTGAGCAGCTAAAACCTTAGTGCGCCTGTATTGTTAAATATATAAACATAGACTTTCCAAGAAGTGTTAAACAAAAACCGATGCCACATTAGTTTCAACATAACAAATGTGTAGTTTTTTAGATATAAAAACATCAAATAAACGAAACAAAACATAGCCATTGAAATTTAAAGTACGACTTTATGCGACTGCAAGTGTAATATTTTTCTCACAAATAAACAAATAACCAACATAGATATTACATCTTTAATATTGTAGAAAATATAACGTTGGCGTTTAAATAACATTGGTATTGTACAACTGTGTATATTATGAGTCTTTTTTATTTATTTTAAAATGAATTTTTATATGCATTACTTTTAAACATATATATGTATGTACAATACATTACATATACGTATATTTAATCTTACATAATCATTTTTGCCAGTTTATTTTCTAAAATTTAAGGTGCGAAATTATCAAAATATAAAACTGTCCTTTACTAAATCCCCATTGCAGATATGGCGAGCATAGTACTAATAGCGTGTTTGGCTGTACTGGGTCTTATTATTGCAATCGCTCTCTTTCTGGCTGGCGGATACTTGTGGTGGAGGCATAAAAGATCCCAATTACAGTTTATTGAACCAAATGAAGATGAAGAATCTAGTAGCTATAGTCTTAGGTAAGTTATATCGTACAATGTTAGTTTTGCCATCTCATGTGGCGGATTCGGTTTGGACTATAACTTGGCGTTCCTCTGAATTAGCTCGCGTTTTGATATTATAGCAACGCTAAGATTTTAAGTAAAAATCCGATTGCAATTTTGTTTACCTCTCGTGAAATTGGCCTTAAAATTTTGGATACTCCTATATTTCCATTGCATTTTGGAGCTTACATTTCGATATTCACTGCTCTGAAAAAAATTGTCTATATTTGTTGGCTAAAATATCATTGTGAGCCTAATCTTTAAGTCACTGGATTATCATTGATGACCAAATCTTTGAGTCTTTCTTTGAGAAACGACAAATGGGGCTTGACTCGTTTCGTTGAGTACTTTGCGATTTTTAAACCCAAACTCCGCTTACATTTTTCGTGTTGCTCTGTGCTAACGATTCGAATTTTTACGACTAGTTGGTGTTATAACGGAACAGAAATCTGTATGGACGGATTTACGGTAAAATTTGAATTGATGTAGGGGGGTGCAGTTTAGATTACGAGTAGGGTAAGGTGACGAACTCGTCAAATCTTATATGTGACGTCACGTTAAAAATTCCAAATAATTGTTGTCGATTTAAATTGTCGTGCCGACGATGTATGTACCATAACATTATTAAGAATTCGCGTAATTTGTTCGTGAGATAATATTGTCTGAAAAACTAACGTATTTAATTTATAAGGGTTTCAGAAATGCCAGACCAAAACTTTGGGGAAAACCAGGTCAGACAAATATATGCACGTATTAACAAGATCTTAAGCAACAGTTCTTGGTACTTTGTGTTTTATTGTTTTGCGCCTTATGAAAGTGGTACCATCATATTTCCAACAGTACCGTGTAGGGTATCGTGACGAATGAAGGGTAGGGTATGAAGACTTAATTTTTGTAGGTATCTGTTGACATTTTATCGTTATTTGTTTCTTTTCCATAGCCTTTACTTAAAAAAACAATTATTATACCCGTTACTCGTAGAGTAAAAGGGTATACTAGATTCGTCGGAAAGTATGTAACAGGCAGAAGGAAGCGTTTCCGACCCCATAAAGTATATATATTCTTGATATGGATCACTAGCCGAGTCGATCTAGCCATGTCCGTCTGTCCGTCTGTCCGTCTGTCTGTCCGGATGAACGCTGAGATCTCGGAAACTATGAGAGCTGGGCTATTAAAATTTGGCGTACAGATTCCTGAGCTTCTTACGCAGCGCAAGTTTGTTTCAGTAGACTGCCACGCCCACTCTAACGCCCACAAACCGCCCAAAACTGTAACTCCTACAGTTTTGATGCTAGATAGAAAATTTTAACTGAAATGTATTGTTCTCATCAATACCTATCGATTGACCTAAAAAAAGTTTGCCACGCCTACTTAAACGCCCACAAACCGCGAAAACCTGTGACGCCCACAATTTGCATGCTAGATAAAAAATTTTAACTGAAATGTATTGGTGTCGTCAATACCTATCGATTGATCCAAAAATAATTTTGCCACGGCCACTCTAACGCCCATAACGCTTAAATCTGTCTACCGCCGGTAGGTGGCGCATTTTAATTTCGCTTTGCTGCTTGCATATCTCCAATTCCCTTTGAGTAACGGGTATCTGATAGTCGAGGTACTCGACTATAGCGTTCTTCCTTGTTTTTTGTTGAATTTTGTGATCTAGAAATTGAACAACTTAATTGGTTCAATTTAAACCAAGAACTGAAGTAGTCATTTAGGCGTACAGTTAAATTTGTAGTTCATTATTGTACCTTTTTAGAATTCCTTGAAGAACAAATAAAAATTTTCACATCTGCATAGAGTTTTAGTGTGTATTTATCAGTTCGGCACCTCACCCTACAACTTTAAAAAGTGAAAAAAATATGGGTTCACGCCAAGAGCTGTAGTATTTAAGTCCGCTAGAATTTCACCAACGAACTTTTACAGGATTAGGCTCAATAGATGTCAGAAACTTTCTGCTTTTAAACCCTTGACAAATATCAATTTTTGGAAAATTGACATTCAAACAAGGAAGAACGCTAAAGTCGAGTACTTCGACTATCAGATACCCGTTACTCAGCTAATGAGACCAAAGGGAAATGGAGATATGCAAGCAGCAAAGCGGGATTGAAATGCGCCACTTACCGGCGGTATACAGATTTAAGCGTTATGGGCGTTTGAGTGGGCGTGGCTAAATTTTTTTTGATCAATCGATAGGTATTGACGACACCAATACATTTCAGTTATTTTTTTATCTAGCATGAAAATTGTGGGCGCCACAGGCTTGGGCGGTTTGTGGGCGTTAGAGTGGGCGTGGCACTCTGCTGAAACAAACTTGCGCTGCGCAGGAATCTCAGGAATCTGCATGCCTAATCCCAGTATTGTAGCTTGTATAGTTTCCGAGATCTCAGCGTTCATACGGACAGACGAACATGGCTAGATCGACTCGGCTAGTGATCCTGATCAAGAATATATATACTTTATGGGGTCGGAAACGCTTCCTTCTGCCTGTTGCATACTTTCCGAAGAATCTAGTATACCCTTTTACTCTACGAGTAACGGGTATAAAAACTAATCGTTCGTCACTATACCCTATACTCACCTAGGTATATAAATTCTTGCTGCATTTCGCCGTAGAGATTTTTCTGAAACCCGCAAAAAAATATGAAGAAACGTTTTTTTAAGGTATATAATTTTTTACTGTCTCATCCATATAACGCCTTTGACCAAAAAGTTTCGTTGTTGATTTATATTTAACTACACCTATCCCTCGAAGTTGCGTCGCTTCTTAATTAGAACTAATTTTCATTGTGCGCCGTTAGATTTTCGATGTTGCGTTGTTTTGGGATGAAGTCGTTAATATGTTTAAAAAAAAAAAAGTTCAGCAAACATTGGACCAATTTTTTTAAAGAAAGCCGGCCTACGACAACAGACTCTAAAGACTCGTCAGAGAGTGATTAATTCTAATTTTATTTCTCATAATTGAGTATGTAATTGAAGATTTTATTTTGTTTTAAATGAATTAGTTTCTTTTTGTTTTTATATGTATAATATGTAATAAAATGAAATCTTATTTTAATTTTTTTTTAATGATCTCTTTGCTGAATTTTCTTTTTAAAAAGTAGTATTTTTGTAACCCTGGAACCCATCTTCGAACTTTACATGGTTTGCTATAGAAAATCCTAATTCACTTTGCGTCGTTTCAATTTGCGTCGTATTTTTTGGAACGTATCCCCGACGCAAAGCGAGGGATAGGTGTATTCTATAAAAACATAGATTTGAATATTAATATCAAACAAAAACATCTCTTAAGACGAATCGCCTCGGCTCTCAGATACCCTATGTTTCAAATTTCAAATAAAATAAAATTCCAGTGCACTCCATTGGCGCGGCACACACCACACCCAGGAAAAAGTAGTACTATTTTTTATGTAACGCATGACTTAGAAATAACAATATGGTGATTATTTACCTTATTTTAAGGTTAATAGTAGACTACATTTTTTGGCCAATGCCAACGTTAAAGCAGTGGTGCCCACACAATGCAAGACTTGATTTTGTGTGCGTAAAATGAAGACGCCGGCCGAAGCCACAGGATCGTTTACAGCAGCGGTCGGCAGCGGCCTATTAAGTGAGCATAGGGAATTGTACTGCCCATCCGCTGCTCGCTCACGTATAACGTAGATGTTCGTGTGACTTCGGCATGGGTCTTCGGGACTTGGCTGCGCGCCAACTTCGTGTTTATTACACTCAAACTAATGCAAGGTAAACTTGTGATGGTATGTGTGTGCCGACCGCTGGTTTACATTGTCGGTGCCAGACTAGCGAGTCAGGCCAGTGGGCACCACTACTTAAAATAAGTCCATATGCCCTCAAAACCCAGAGCTAGAGAATTCTAAAAATAAAGTTTGCTTGTGCTCCCAGAAACAGGTTTTGCCGCGGAGCCTTTATGTGGTACTGTAGACCAGAGGTTAGACTATCCGACTATCGCGCGGAAGACCGGGGATCGATCCAACCGCGGAAAAAATAAAAATCGTTATTTTTTCAGGAAGATAAAATATTTGCTTACACGAATTCACTATAATAAATCAAAAAAAAATTGTTTTAGTATCACTAAACATTTTTTGAAAATACCTAGTTTTTAGGACATACGAGGACATGTTTAAGTTTCTGGCCTAGGACACTTTTAGCCATATGGAGACAAATTGGACTCTTCCCAAAAAAAAGTTTGGACTTTTATCGATAAAATCTTCATACACCTTTTTCATGTGTTAAGCCTAGTACTCATTGGTCATTATTGGCCAGCCCATACGGACTCGGAGCTCGACTGCAGATGGCGCGGGAAAGATAGCGAAGCATCCGTGGGAAGAGAAGGAGGCCTTAAACTAACTCTAATTTACATAAATAAAAACATTTGTTGAACATTTTATTTTTTTTGATTTCAACTTCTTTGTGCACCAGCAGACTCTTCTTTTTTTTAAATTGCTCCAATTGATTTGTTTTCCGATTGGCAACAAGCCCATCTGCTTGACAGTAAGACCATGCCACATGCATTGCGGGTCACACTACAAAGAATACGATTTTTCGACTAGTGAAACTCTTAGCCGATCTGAGTACTAGGCTTTACCACGTTTGATATCGATTAACAATTATTCGAAAACTTACCTCGGCAAAAAAATGGAAATTACCTGTGAACATTTTCGTGCAATCATTTTTCACAAGTTTCGAAGTATATAGTCAAGACGCTTCAAGACGTGAACGTCGTTTAAAAAAAGTCGTTGTACTAGATAACACTGATGCCGAGCGTGAACTGATAATGCAAGAATCGTCATGTGACATTTCTTCCACCCGCATACATTTGATATTGCAAAAACACCTGGTTTGTTTTTGTTGGATCTCGCACAATTTGACGATCGGTCAAAATTAAGGATCGTGTGGATTGGTGGAAGAAGCACTCCGAAGCAAAAGGTCGCCTGTTTCTTCGGTAAAGTTACGTCATGTGGCAACGGATCCGCTTGAGCAACTTAGGACTGTGAATTCTGAGTGGTACACCACAATTTGATTGCCGAAAGTTTTCGGAGTAATTCGAAAGACGAACTAGAGAAGACGGATAATTGCGTACCATGACAATGCGAGCTCTTACACATCAGCTCAAACCAGCTCCTTTTTTACCGGCCAAAACGTCGAATTGATGGATCATCCGAACAGCCCTTTGCTTTCTTTTATTCTTTCTTTTCTTTTATTATTATTCTTTTATTTTTTTTGAGGGTTCCCAATGGGTACGGATAAAGTGTTAGACAAATGGAAAAACAATAAATTCATTTTTGATGATAAATATTGGAATTTTTATTATTAGGTCAGAAATCATATTAATCATATTATTTCCTAAATTTTAGGCGTTGTATGGCGTTGGCTCAGTTTGTTTCTTATGATTCCTAAAATTGTAGGTCATTTTTACACATCTTAAGTAATTTTGTTTTCTGAGTGCACCAATGCCACCAAGCGCCACGGCACCTAGCGGACGGTAGCGGTACTAATGTCCTTGCCATAACCCCATTTAATTAAGTTAGTCATAACTTTTCGAATAACAATGCGATCTACAGCTTAGATATGTATTTATAAATAAAGACAATTTAGATTTACCCTGAAACAAAATCTTCGATAATGTGAGCGCCAGAGATTTAATTGTGATATTTAAACTATTACAAAAATTGCTAGACAGACTCAGCGTCCTAAGCGTTTGTGGGCGTGGCACTTTAAAAAAAACTTGCGCTGAATAAGAAACCAAGGAATCTACATAGTAAATTTCAACTCTCTATTTTTTTTTTTAGTTTTAACGATGCGTAGGACATGTCCTTAGCTTTAGCAGTTCACAAGTTACGAGGGTACGAATTTGATCTATTTATAGTTCCCCACTAAACTAGCGGGTTTTTCTAAAAGTGGTTAAACTAACGTTTATAATATGCAGCTGTTTAACATCATTAAAAATTTCCAGGACGTTACAACACTGAGAAACACATAAAGTGACAAACAGAATACAATTTTCATTTCGAAAAGTCTCCCACAATTTTGTTTTTTGAATAACTTTTGAACGGAGCATCAGATTGACACCAAGATAGCATAAAGTCTAATAAAGTGGACCATGCACCCCTACCGGCGCCAACATCTTTAATTCAAAATTTCCTTTCTTACGAAGACACAGTAAAAAGTGTTTTTCAACATTACTGAAGCTAGCAACAATCCTTCACAGTTAATGATTGTGTAACTAACATTGGCTATTTCTTATAACTTCAAGGGTATATAAACATAGGCTTCCCAAAGATAACTTCCTTTCTTGTTTTATTTTTCTGAAATTGTCTTATATCTCTTAAAACAAATGGCCTTAGTTGTATAAAAATTGTTTTCTCGTTAAAAAGTTGCTATTTCTTAAAGATTTTCTGCCGAAGAACTTTAAAGATTCACAGAGTGGGAGCCCTATTGGTTTTCCAAAATATTTCCCATATACTACATGTTTAATCATAAAAACAATAAAACGGGAGTACTCGCTTTATATATTTTTTTAATTTAAAGGGCTGCTCAGGATATTGTTGACTCTGGTAATCCACCTACAAAACCGCAAGTGCCAGTAACACAAGCTATTACAACACCACTTCAAAATAACATAAACAGGAAGTTAAATGGATTCTTAAGTCTTAGAACTCCTTTAATTGGGTAAGTAACTTAAGTATCTTACGTAAATGAAAAATCAAAACTGTAATATTTTTTTAAGTGGTTCGGGAACTGCACAAACAAAGCCACAAAATGTATCTTCTGTTGGAAACGCTGGAGAAGGTACTGCTAAGGATTCCGCTGTAAGTATATAGTACTTTAAACTCTTTATAACCCTCAACACATTTGGATGATTACTCTGTTACAAGTATATAAACTTAATTACATTTTTGTTTGTATTCCTTTTCAAAATCAAATGTTATCTAGAACAAATTTTAACTACCTATAAAATAAGGAGTAACCGTAATAGTTTTTATATAATATAATTGATTCAAATAAATTGATTACCTTTTTCTTAATTTAAAGTAATTATTATAATAGATAAATTATTTTTGAGTAGTACAAATTTTCGATTATTGCTAGAAAACTTAAAATTATGTTTACACTAGTTTTGAAAAAAATATCGTCACATTGCTACACGTTATCGCGTTCGGTTTTCGGGATGTCCAAATGAACGTGATAAAATCGGTCTATGGGAACTGTGATCTTTTCTGGAGGGAGATGGTTGAGCTTAGTATTTGGTGCCTGTTTCTTTCTCGATTTTCTGTAGGACGACGAACATCCCCGACATCAGAAGCATCAAATACAAGGTATAGTTGAGCTTTCGGGAACGGATAAGCTACAAGTGCTGCATTTGTGATACTTTGTTTGCATGCATTGGTGTCCATTCGGTGATTTTTCTTGACATTCCTTAGGAGATCTGATAACGTGGATGTGTGAGAAATTCCTTAACAGGGCTTGGAATCTATGAGTGGCTGATCTGTAGTGGATATGTTGGTTATTACATAAATTAATTTTTCGTCTTTACGTCGACGAGGAGACGAACGTGAGACAGAAAGTCCGCACCGATAATACCAACTTTAGTGCCAGCTTTAATAAGAGGCCAGATAAAGGAACGAGGTTGTCCAAAGTTAAGATCGACTGGAGTGCTGTTGTAGGTATGGATGTCTGTTCCATTTGCTGCACACATACTAAGAGTCGATAAGGAATATGTGGTGGGTAATAAGGTTATTGACTGCATGGGGGTCCCTTATTCGCGGAAAATATGTTTTATTAAAGAATAAATACCTAAAGTTTAAGGGTCACAATATGTTTCCCTTTGTTAGATAACGGATCACTTTAAGTAACAATGATTTTGTTAAAACTGTACTTATTCAAGAATGTATTCTTTAATTTTTTTTAGAATAAAAGTATCTCAATGACAGACATGTACCTGGATAGCAACGATCCGAGTGAAAATGTTGGACAAATACATTTTTCTTTGGAATATGATTTTCAAAACACAACATTAATTTTAAAAGTTTTGCAAGGAAAAGAGCTTCCTGCGAAAGATTTAAGTGGTACTTCCGATCCTTATGTCCGTGTAACCTTGTTACCAGATAAAAAACATAGATTGGAAACCAAAATAAAAAGGCGAACACTAAACCCTCGTTGGAATGAAACATTTTACTTTGAGGGATTCCCCATTCAAAAACTTCAATCTCGTGTAAGTATAAATAAACCGATCCTCGTAAGTATATTACAGATACCAGGATTTTGTAAATTTGTATACCGTTTACACCTGCAGAGTAAAAAGGCATGCTAGATTTGACGGATAGTATGTAACAACTAGATGGAAGTGCTTTCGATCCAATAAAGGATATATATTCTTGATCAGGACAGTAGCCGAATCGATATAGCCATGTCCGTATGTCGGCCAGTTTGTCCGTATGAACGCTGAGATCTCGGATTAAAAATGCAGATTCTAGAGCTTCTTGCGCATCGATGTGCCACGCTCGTTCTGATGCCCAAAACGCTGCCGCCCACATTTTGTAATATTGTACATATCCATCTATGCCTGAAATGGTTCAAACCATAGTATGGTGTGCAATCTCGGAAACAGTCACTTTATTGCTAATATATTTCCATCTCCCTTGCACTTCCTTTCAAGGACATCGATTTAGAGGTCTTTCTTGTTTTGGTAAGCCTCAACTGGCCTGCACTTAAAGATTACAAGTGATAGCACAGTTGTATGAATCCCTTTTGGTTTAAGGATCTTGGGGATTTTATTGGTGTATTAAAAAGATTGAGATACGACTATTGACAACTGTTGACAACTAATACTGCAGATACATGCTTTATGTCGCTGAAAAAGTAATTCAATTCCCTAATTACGCTGCCTTTGCTTAAATTGTCTAAATACATAGATTTAAAGTTACCTTTTGGCTATTTTCTCAAAATTGGTTTGAACGATTTCTTTTTAACTTTCAACCTATAAAGCCCTTGAGATTCCTCAACTTTTGATAGATATAATTTTTTTAAATAAGATAACCGATTGGAATATATTGAGCAATAAAAAGTGCAACCCGTTTCAGTTCAGAATAAAAAACATTTAATGCTTTCTTAAACAGCCAAAACTATGCAACATGGATGAGAACCAAGAAAGGAAGCTAACATCGGCAAGTCGAAGTTTCTATATCCTTGCAGGTCATTCCCGTGGGAGCATTGTATGTACACAGCTTTCCGATTTTAGGAAAACTAATAACTAACAAGGGAGAACGCTATAGTCGAGTACCTCGACTATCAGACACCCGTTACTCAGCTAAAGGGACCAAAGGGAAATGAAGATATGCAAGCAGTAAAGCGAGATTGTTTGGGCGGTTTGTGGGCGTTAGAGTGGGCGTGGCACATTGGTGAAACAAACTTGCGCTGCGTAAGAAGCTTAGGAATCTGCATGCCAAATCTCAATAGCCTAGCTCTTATAGTTTCCGAGATCTCAGCATTCATCCGGAGGGACAGACAGACGGACATGGCTAGATCGACTAGGCTAGTGATATAAGAGTATATATACTGTATGGGGTCGGAAACGCTTCCTTCTGCCTGTTACATACTTTCCGACGAATCTAGTATACCCTTTTACTGTACGAGTAACGGGTATAATTACATATATATAAAGATAATGTTCCATTTTAATTTACTACCGTAAATAAACGAAGTATTACGGTCTTTGTATTATTTTGACAATAATTACCCGTTCGTTCCTATGGCAGCTAAATGATAAAGTCGTCCGATTTATTTAAATTGTATTCCAAATTCTGATATATTTAAGGAATGACAATCCCAAGAGTAGAAGTTAATATGTTAAGAAACATAAACAAACAAAAAATGTTGTTATGCTTCCTATGGAGCTATAGGATATAGTTGTCAGATCCGGCTCGTTCTGACTTAAATACTACCTGCAATAGAAATCAGACTTTTGGGATGGTTTCATCCCGATAGCTTTAAAACTGAGAGACTAGCTTACGTAGAATCGTACGGACGGACGGACAGACGGACATGACTGGATCGAGTCGTCTAGTTATGCTGATCAAGAATATATATACTGTATGGGGTCGGAAACGTCTCCTTCACTGTCCTTCAAACTCTGCAAATGTACAAAAATGTCTAAGCCGGACGTCCGACTTATATAATACCATTCGGATGTTTCTTTTTTACTGAATTGCAAACATTTGACTAAAAATAATAATATCATCTGTAAGGGCTAGCCGCATTTAATCTTCATTTTCAAACTTGAATTTTTGTCAGAGGAAATGTACTTTTTACCTTTAGTAGACAGGACAAAAGGGTAACATTTCGATTTGGAGCAGTTAAACATTTTCTTTAAAATTAAAATCTATTAAATTTAACTCATTTATAAATTAAAAACGTCAAATAATATAAATACACGGTACAATTTTGTTATATGTTTAAAATGGACGATTCAAATGGTGTAGGTTTTACACTTACATGTATTTGATTACGATCGGTTCTCAAGAGATGACTCCATCGGAGAAGTATTTCTTCCTCTTTGCCAGGTAAATAATATATTAAATACTTTTTTCTTTATGAACGGTAATTACTTTTTATTTGTTTGTTAAATAAGGTTGACTTTGCTGGAAAACAATCATTTTGGAAGGCATTAAAGCCCCCTGCAAAGGATAAATGCGGGGAACTTCTTTCCTCCCTTTGCTATCATCCGTCGAACTCAATTTTGACGTTGACATTGATAAAAGCAAGAAATTTGAAAGCCAAGGATATCAACGGAAAATCTGGTAAGTAGTTTCTCAAACTTTAAAGATAAACATAATTATAGAGTTTTTTCCTCGAACTGGATTTGCACAATTGTTAATATGAAGTGGGGTTTAAATTTTAAGTGTGTTAATCACTGTGGACGGCAGTACACGTAGTGGCGAAGCGCGCAAGAGAGCGTGCGAAGACAACTACTATATATAGACGCAGAATTGAAAATCTGCAATTATCCGATCATAACGAGTGATACACCAATCGAAAGGTATCGCACTAACTAAGAAGATTGCATACCAAGACTTTCGAAATATAGATTTGTTTGGGAGAAAAAGCGGTGAAAGTGTAAAAGAAAAAATTTAGAAAATTGGAGCTGCTGGATACGGTGGGGATAAAATCCCCAAACTGTTTAGTTTTATTCTTACTGAGAATACGCGTCGAATGCCACCTCATTTGTTGAAATCCGATGTTCCGTTCAAAAGTAATTAAAAAAACAATTCCAAAATGAAAATGTTTGTCCCTTTGTTTGTGGGTTTGTATGCATCCCATCTTAGTTTTAGGGTTGAAATAGAAAACATTTGTTCTACGACTTTTGGAAAAACCCGCTAGTTTAGCGGAAAATAAAAAAAAAAGCCAGATTTAAAATTATATTATTATATTATTATAGTAGCTAAACTACAAATGCTACAGAAACGTGCTATATATCTCTGAAAAGATAATTTAATTTGCTAAATACTCTTTATATAGTAAAATTGTATGAATATAATAGATTTAGAGTTACGATAAAAAGTTATTTTTTAAAACCACTTTTTGACTATTTTCTCAAAATTTGATGTATAACACTTTTTACCCTAAAAGTTACCGTTTGGAAGATATTAAGCGGTAAAAAGTGCAACTGGTTTCAGCTCCGTATACGTAATATTTCATAATTATTGGAATAAACAAGAAAAAACCAATTTAACGAACAATATTCTTATTAGATTTTTTCAAACGGAAAATCAGTTATGGTTTTAGGGTCCTTTACTTGCATGAAGCTAAACTTGCTAGGAAACTTGATCTATTTGTTCTACCACTTTGGAAAAACCCGCTAGTTCAGCGGGAAATGTAAGAAACGACAGATTTCTCTTCGAATCTGAAACTGTACAACCCTTTAGATTCCAAACTTGTGCTATTAAAATAGGTAATTGAAGCGATAAAACTTGTTATTAAAAAGTTTAAAGCCGAAGTGGAAATAAAAAAGTGTGTTTTTGGTTTTTCAATAGCCAAGCCATATGGGGACGACTCCTAGTCATGGTATTGAGGTACTTAAACTCTTGTGCAAAAAAAACGTCTGTTATCAAACAAAAACACCTCTTAACGAGGTAAAAAGTAGTGGCGAAAGCGCTCTTAACAAAAAATTCTCATATCAACAATTGTGACGAAAAATGATATTACATTCGATAAAATAAATAAACTATATTAAATTTATGTATTCGGCACGCTACAGCAGAAAATTTACGTGTAGGTAAATAAATATTTACTGTTGCGGGCCGAAATCATAAATTTAATATAGTTTATTTGTTTTATCGAATGTAATATCATTTTTCGTCACAATTGTTGATATCAGAAATTTTTGTTAAGAGCGCTTTCGCCACTACTTTTTACCTCGTTAAGAGGTGTTTTTGTTTGATTTAAAGTTAATTAAAAAATGTACTTTAACAAGCAGAAGTTATTATACCCTTGCATCTAATACCATGGCTGGGGTAAATAAAATGGAAACCGTAAGAATGCCAATTTATACGAGGCAGATTTGTATATTTATACCCGTTTCTCGTAGAGTAAAAGGGTATACTATACTCGACGGAACGTGCGTATCAGGTAGAAGGAAGCGTTTCCGACCTTAAGAATTATATACGTTTCTGATCAAGATCACTAGCCGAGTCGATCTAGCCATGTCCGTCTATATAAAACCTTTCTAGCGCCCACGTGGTAGGGCTTTTAAAGGTGTAAGACCATTTTGCCTTAAATAGCAATGTCTATCTTATTGCCTGAAATTGTCTTAGTCAGACCATCCATTTAAAAGTTATAACCAAATAAGGGAATCGACGATAGGCAGCGCTGTTGCGGGGTGGGCAGTATTGGGAAAAGTCCAGTCGCTTTGCTGCTTGCAATTCACCATCTCCCTCGCACTCCCCTTAGCTGAGTAACGCGCATCTGATAGTCGAGGATGCCGGCTATAGCGTTCTCTTTACTCATTTTTAAAAATAGACGAAGAAATCATTTGCCTGGTATTTAAACTATCGGTGTATAACTAATAATTAATTTGAATTTGATGACATGGTTGTAAGTGCAACGGTATGTGAACTTCTTAATGCCGAAGCAAGAAATGCAGATCCCAATTCCTTTACTAAACAAGAAAGGAAGACAACTTCGGCATGCCGAATTTTGTATACCATTGCAATTATAATTATTAAATTTAAAAATACAAAAAATGATATTCCCAATACTATAAGATAATATGTCAAAAAACACCGAAGCTATAATTTGTTTCATATTATTTTCCCACCAATTATCCGATCGTTCCTATGGCAGCTATATGATACAGTTGTCCGATGTTGATAAAATTTATTTCGAAATTCAAAACTAATTAAAAAATGCTATTAACAAGCTTAGGAGGTTAGGAAACACCAAAGGTATAATTTTATTAAATTTTTTTTCCGATTATTCCCATGAGAGCTATAAGATATAGTTGTCCGATCCGGCTGATTCCGAATTTTATACTACCTGCAAAAGAAAGAAAACTTTTGGGAAAGTTTCAGCCCGGTAGTTTTAAAACTGAGAGACTAGTTTGCGTATAAAGGGACGGACAGACGGACATGGCTAGATCGACTCGTCTAGTCATGCTGATCAAGAATATATATACTTTATGGGGTCGGAAACGTCTCCTTCACTGCGTTGCAAATTTCTGACTGAAATCATTATACCCTCCGCAAGGATATAAAAATAATAATTCTTAATCTAGAACAGCGGTCGGCACAGAATACAATGACATTGTTTTTTTTATTTGTGTGAGAAATTTGCACGAGGATATTTATCGGCGTGTGTGTAACAACAGCTGTTCTACGCTATTCCCTCTGCCAGCTTAATGGAACTAGAGTTTGGCAGAAATATAGGGCGCATTTTGTACATAAAAACTTCGATGTTGTCATACATGACAAATTCATCATCTTTTAATCGACATGTCATCGACAAAAACTGGGTTGTGTCATCCACACCTAACGACTTGTTATCAAACCTTAGTCAACTTGTTTGGAAAAAAAATTAGAGGGAGAGTTGGTTTATACACGATTGTCGAATGAGATCGTCTGCTCTTCCGAAATCGAAGTCGGCATTAATGACACGATGATGTCATAGGCCAATTGGTGACATGTGGAACTACTGGGTAACCCAGTCGGCAACGAATGCATTCCACAAGCCGTTCTTTCATTATGAAATGTTCACCAAAAACGTGTGCCAAAAGTGATTACCCTTCCAACTCAATTTACACGGGTGGGGGACAAAAAAGAAGGTATCTGTTGCATGCACCAAGGTGCATATATTTGGAACGCGCCTGTATGCATCAAATAAACACATGCTGGTACATAATTATTCAGGATGCGCCTGTAAGCTATACCCAGGAATCCACCTATGTATATTCATCAAATAAATATTCTCTGTACGCATTTATTTGGAATGCGCTGTAAACCCTTCCCTGAAATTAAGTCTCCCGAGGAAAACATAAAACAGGATTCTAATTTCATGATTGTTTTTTTATTTCAATATTTAAGAACCCAAATAATTTTTAATTGGAATCGCTTTTCTTGTGTACGGGGGCTTGCTGCTTCCTGCTTCGGAGTTTGCTTTTTTCTGCGCGCATTTCATAAAATGTATTACTTTGTTCTTTTATTATTTGTGTTAATATTGAACTACATTAACTGCACGTACCTGTGAAAACATTAATGTTAAATTGGTAACAAAAAGCAACAATTTATTTTTTAAATAGTAGCACGAACTTCACTTTTATGAATTTAAAATACAACTGAAAATAAAATAACGACCATCGGTAAACTTCGTGTTTCAATTTTGGTGCTTACAATAAGCACTTCTAAAAAGCTCCGCAATGCAATGCACCTAGCAAGTAGTGATGTAAATTTGGGTCGAAACATCGATGTCGATCTTCATCGTTGTTTGCAAAATGATACATCGATGTTTTGTGAAACATCGGCTAGAAACATCGATGCATCGATGTTTTCAACCCATTCCGTTATTTTTCGTTAATTCAATTTGTAGAAGCCTATTAAATATTTTATTGAGATTTTTTAATATTTAAATAAGTTTTAGTTTTAGTTTTTTCTTTTTTATTTCTTCATTGAGTGGTTTTGTTAACAATTTTATAAACGAACTTAAAACTATATCAATTCATGAGCATTCAGCAGTCTTTTTCATTACATCATTACATTACTAAAACAAAAACCGCGAATTTGTCTGTGCGGCACTGAAACCATATGTTCTGCATATGCTCGATGCATCGATGTTTTTTTTACATCACTACTAGCAAGCACAATTGCCTTGGAAAATGATCATGCGATTAGCTATGCGTAACAAAATGTGTCATATAACTATTTTTTCGGAATGCGTTCCCAAATTTCCTTTTGGGCATGAATCTAGGTGCACTATATTGAAACACATCCAGACGGCCCCGCAATGCAACGCACCTAGGACGCACATTGGCCTAGGAAAATGTTCATGCGTGTCCTTTTGTGTAAAACAAATGCGATCTAAAACAATTTTTTTTGGAATGCGCTCTTGAACTTACGATGGGTATTCTTGTATAACATATGTACATATTTATGTACAACGTCGGCTCAGATGGCAGACTAACAAGCATGTGGATCACTGAGTTTGCTAGTCTATGTCGTGCAACAACAGAGTTCGGAAATATTAGGGCTAACTTAAAGTAGAAAGGTAAAAAATAAATACATCACCTATTTAGGTGGTCAAAGTTTTTATATACGTGTATAATTACTATCGTATTATTCTGTTAGGATCCGCTCACAAAAATAAAAAAATCTATTACTATTATTAAATATAACATGGTTTTAATATTCTTTCATTTTATAATGTCTTTAGATCCATACGTAAAGGTTTGGCTTCAATTTGGAGACAAAAGGGTAGAGAAAAGAAAAACGCCTATATTTACATGTACGTTAAATCCAGTATTTAATGAATCCTTTAGCTTTAACGTTCCTTGGGAAAAAATAAGAGAATGTTCCTTGGATGTTATGGTAATGGATTTTGATAACATAGGAAGGAACGAGTTGATAGGGCGAATATTATTAGCGGGTAAGAATAAAGATTGAAATTGTGCTCAATGTAAACTTTTAATTAACCAATATATATATGTTTTAATGTTATTTAAATAGGTAAAAACGGTTCTGGAGCATCAGAAACTAAGCATTGGCAAGACATGATCTCAAAGCCCAGACAAACTGTAGTACAATGGCATCGTTTAAAACCTGAGTAACTTTAATAATAATTCAATAATATATACATAACACTAACACCAGTAAGTATACCGGAGAAACCCGTACGTGGATGTACATACGTTGATTTATACTTGCATATATAGCAATATCATAACGATTAAAAAAAGGAAAACAATTGAAATCTGCACAAAACTAATGTTATTATGTTTGAAAAATTATAATTATTAAAAGCCATACAATTTAAATAAAGTAATTGTTCTGATAAGAGCAATAGTTTTATACGTGCTTATATGTAGAAAAATGGTTTGTAAGGACATTATTATACAACATGGATTATAAAATATTGTAACATCTGTTAAAAAATTAATTTCTAAAATAACGCTGTGTAACGCCAGAATTTGATGTGTTGAATGACCACGAAAATGTTTTATAACTAAGAAATTTTAAGAAAAATAGGCTCGAAATGTAAAAAGTTTCGATGTTTGAACAGCTTTGACTTTCTCATAAGAGCAGACTGACTGACATGTCTAGATTTTCAAGGAATGCAATATCTCGGTGCACCAGTGCCTGGTATAAAAATGTACGATAACCACAGATCTCATTTATTTGTATGGTATCCAGGGTGAGAGCATTTTCGTGGCTTTAAATCTAACACACATAAAATCGAAAAACAGTATACTTTGATTAATGTATAATAACAAAGGTAACATTTTATAACACAGTGTAAGAAACTCCCTTGACAAAATGAAGTTTGTTACTTTTCAACCTACACTTTGTCATTAAATGTATGTACGTATAAATATATTTTTCAATCATTTTTTATACACTTTTAAATTTGATTTGCTTTAAAATTAAAATTTGATTTAAGTTGAATTTCATATATAGGGAAGTTAACAAATTTAAAAGATGCGGAAGACCAATTGGGAAAACTTTGTCTGCCCCTATTTTGGCAATTTATCAAAATAACGCAAATGGTACCAGGGTTGACATAATAATTTTTATCAGATAAGAAAGTTGGAAACGCCTATAGGGATATATTTCCGTGGAAGACATCTGATAAAAGCAATGAATGAAACCCATAACTTTATGAAAATGTATATAATACGATTGAATTGTTAAACTATAACATTAAATAGTCTAATTAAAGACGAAAAGACATTGTTACACGGTTTTAAATTAAACAAAATGGAAAAAAGTTATAATATCCTTACATATTCTTTAATCACATACTGTACCGTATGATAGAAATGTAGGTTATTTAAATAGAAAAGGATTGCATTAGCACAATAAACCAGAACATAAACCATTTTTAAAAATAACTATACAAATTAAACTATTAGCCAACCATTGCCGGAATAAGCGTCAACTGCGAGAACAAATATGAGAAAGTAAGAGAGAAACGAAAGAATTAAAAAAAAATATATTTATAATTGATAATTGAAACTGAGTTTAAAAAACGAAAAATCGAAAATACAACCCACCTTGAAATTACATATTTGTTATATACCTGTTAAAATATTATTAAAATAATTTATTCATAGCAGCAAATAAAGCATTCAATAAGAGTCAGTAACAATGCGTATTCCTATAATACTTGGTTAATGGGTTTTCAGATAAAATAACAACAAGATAGTGGCCGCGCTCAGCAGAACAATGTGATAAGTGATCACTTATGGAATTCATACGATAGTTTGCTGAACGCACATAATCTAAATTTCATAGTAGAGTTTTTCGTGTAAAATATTTTAAATTTTCGTCGTCATTATGTATCATGAGCGTTGAGCAAAACAAACTGTATCACTGATAACTGATCCATCAGTAAACAGTTATCATTTTCTTCTGCTGAGCTCGGCCAGTGATACCCAAAAAAGTAAAAAAGAAACCGAAGGAACTGATTTAGTTTGCTACACATCCTTGATAACTTGGTCACGATAAACCAAACCATCACAGCCATTTTATACGTATCAGAATTAACCCACAACATATTGTGGTCTGGCTGATATTTTTATACCCTTGCAGAGGGTATTATGATTTCAGTCAGAAGTTTGCAACGCAGTGAAGGAGACGTTTCCGAAGCCATAATGTATATATATTCTTGATCAGCATCACTAGACGAGTCGATCTAGCCATGTCCGTCTGTCCGTTTCTATGCAAATTAGTTTCTCAGTTTCAAAGCCATCGGTATATAACCTTCCCTAAAGACTTAGTTCTATGGAAGGTAGTACATAAGTCGGAACCAGCCGGATCGGACCACTATATCTTACAGCTCCCATAGGAATAATCGGAAAAAAATATTTTAAAAAAATATATCTTTGGTGTTTTTTGACATATAACCTCCTAAGCTTGGAAGTAACCTTTTTTAATTAGTTTTGAATTTCGAATTAAATTTTAGAAAAATCGGAAGACTATCATAGGTGCCATAGGAACGATCGGAAAATTGGTGGGAAAATAATATGAAACAAATTATAGCTTCGGTGTTTTTTTAACATATACGCTTGGAAATAACATTTTTTAATTAGTTCTGAATTTCGAATTTAATTTTATCATAATCGGACGACTATATCATATAGCTGCCATAGGAACGATCAGAAAATTGGTGGAACAATAATACGAAACAAATTATAGCTTCGGTGTTTTTTGACATATTATCTTATACTATTCAGAATTTCATTAAAATGTTATTTCCAAGCGTAGGAGTTTGTATGTTAAAAACACCAAAGAAATAATTTCTTAAATTTTTTTTCCGATTATTCCTATGGGAGCTATAACATTTAGATGTCCGATCCTGCAAAAGAAAGAAGACTTTTGAGAAAGTTTCAGCCCGATAGCTTTAAAACTGAGAGACTAGTTTGCATAGAAACCGACGGACAGACGGACAAGGCTAGATCGACTCGTCTAGTGATGCTGATCAAGAATATATATACTTTATGGGGTTGGAAACGTCTCCTTCACTGCGTTGCAAACTTCTGCCTGAAGTCATAATACGCTCTGCAAGGGTATACAAATTCTGGAAATTACAATTTTGTGACCCCAATACTTTCGAAAAAATTGAACATTTCTTAAGCTTACGATTTTTTGTCGTTCTGATTCGGAAAGAAACCAAATTTCGACGATCTTTCATTTAGGAGATTAAACTTTGTTTTAGATTGTTTTTAGACTTTAGATACAAAGGAGCAACGTAAAAGAGGGGGGTTAGCAATATATGTGCATTCCCGCGCGAAAAGATCAGACATATTAGTGTTTCGGCGCGCGTATTGTAGCCTCCTCTTAGGCGTTGTAACTATTTAATTGTGAAAAGCGTAATAAAGTTTGTTAACCAGTCCTGTACACATAACCAAAAAGACGAATACAAGTTGTGTTTTTTAAAGACAAAAATCACAGCAAATACCAAAGCTGATGAACAGGTGTCGCGGCAAATTATGCTTAGAAACGCTTTGTTTATTGATATGCTGCCCAGCCGTACAACAAATAAAGGAAATTCTGGCGGGCTTATTATTACCTGTTCTACAACTTTAATGAATACAAAAAGTGTATTCTGTTAAGCCTAGTAGTAAGAGTACAGTAAGAGTTTCATTAGTAAGAGTTTCACCAGTAAGAGTTCCACTAGTCGAAAAATCGTATTCTGTGTGGTGTGATCGAAGTTTTAAAGTTCACCCGCAATGCACGTAACATGATCTTACTGTCAAGCAGCTGGTTTTGTTAACAAACGGAAAACAAATAAATTGGAGCAATTTAAAAAATAAGAGTCTGCTGGTGCACAACAATGAAATTTAAATTAACATAAATGGAATGCTTAACGAATGTTTTTTCTTATGTAAAGAAGTAGTTTAGCTTCTTGCTCGTTCCACGGATGCTTCGATATCTTTCCCGCGCCTTATGCAGTCCAGCTCCAAGTCCCAATAGGCATAGTGGACCTTAAGGAAGTAGGAGCCAAATTGGGAACGGGGTCGTTCCCGTGCATCCTGGCAATGGCTGGTAATGGCTCTTCCCAACCCTAGCGGGCGTCCTTTTTTCGTCCATCCTGTAGAAGCCAGCGCGTTCTCCATATCCGCTTTAGCTGCCAAGTAGCTAGCTGATGGTGGTTAAGTCCTGTGTTTCCCCAATAGCGAGCTCGTCGGAGATCGTGTTACTGGTGGTTCGGCTAAAAAGTTACCTCTATCAGTACACCGAAACAGAATTCTTCTGGCCCGAACTTACTTTCTTTCTTTACCGCTTTTGCACGAACACTGCCAAAGATTAAATTTCTTATTCTTTGGGCTGCTAAATGTGGTATTTTTTCTAGTATTTCCTTAGCTCATTAGAGTACCGCGCTGAAAAACAGACCCAACGAAAAGCGTTAGCCGCGTATTTGCATCTCGCTCCCTCCTATTTTTAGCTCGCGGTTTTCGTCAGTGTGAGTACTAGGCTTTAAGTTGGAAAGAATGAAAACATTGCGTTCTAACCGTAAATGAGCTTTTTCGGTAAAATCAGCACGGACTTAAACCAAAGCTTTCTGTATCTAATACCACTATTTTAAACCATTATTTATACACAAGTAATACAGACTAGGTCATCCAAACTAGCAAACTATTTAATATCAAATACCACTATTTTAAACCATTATTTATACACAAGTAATACAGACTAGGTCATCCAAACTAGCAAACTATTTAATATCAAAATTGTGGCTGGAGTTCCTTAAACTTTTACAACTCCTTCATCACAGATGAATGCGAGATTCTTTCACGTTGAATTTATACTGTAGTTGCTTGTCACATGCGCATTAGGAATTTCAATGAGCTCTCTCATTTAGTTCCAGTTTGCTCAGAGCAGGAGTATCCATTTTTAGAACGATTTGTTGGTTCGGGCCCTTTGGTACGCTTATGTATTTGTTGATTAATTTGGATTCGTGTACATATATGTGTCTCTCAAAGAGTCTAACAGTTGACGAAAACACAAATCCACGCAGTCATCTGTGATTTGCCAATTTTAAATTTAGTCTATAGGTACTCGTTTTGCATAACACAGCTATTCTGTCATTCTTCACTGTGTTACGACTTGTCTAGATATACATGTATGTGCATTTAAAATTTGTGTGTTTTACAAAATGGAAACCTCGTTTTTATAGTTTTCGGAAAGGGGACATATTTGTTGTTATGTTACAATCAATAAAATTCTAAGATAAAAGCATACAGCTTATTATCATTGGGCATTTAAAAGTTTCGATTGTGTAATGTTTTTCTGGTAAAATAAAACAATTTGGGCAGGCACAAACATTTTGTAAATAGCTTTTTGAATTTCTTTGATCCCTGTATTTGTAAAACAATTTTTTTTCCTTTGCCAAGGGTTTTTTAATTGTAGTCAGATGCTTTCAGGGCAGTAACCCGGATATTTCCGACCCTTGATCAACAGCACTAGATGAATCGATCTTGCCATGTCCGTCTGCCTGGCCGTCAGTTTCTAGTCTCTCTGGCTTTAATCTATGTGCATAAAACTTTCTCGAAAGTCCAGTTTATATTGCAGGCAATATATAAGCCGGATCGGCCCGCATCGGACAACTATATCCAAAAACTCTAGTTAAAAGCGATCGAAAAACTAAAAATTATTCTGTATGTCGTCCTAAATCATTATCATGATTTAAATTTAATTTGAGAAAGATTTAAAAAAACACTGCTTTTTAGAAAAACTATTATTTTTACAAAAGTTATTTTTAATTTCTGTGACTGTTGGATTGAATTCAGTCCCATGTTTCCCCAAAAACAGAATTCCTGATGGCCCTCAAACCAATTTTAAATATCCAGACCATTCATGCCAAAGGCTGTAAGAAGTAATTTATTATTTTACATATTTTCGCAGTCGAATCATGTCAAGCTTATGGAAAGCGTAAAAAAAAATCAAAACATATAAAAAACAAATTTCCTATTTCGTTGAGAGTTACTACTTATATTTCGCAAACGCGCTTTTGACAATAGCTATGTTCTGGCAAGTTTGTTTGACATCTTTAATTGTTTATTATAAAAGGCATCAGAAAGTTGTAATTTTTTTTTGGTAACCACTTTTAATTGGATTATCTCATCCAGAAGGTGCCAATAAACATAGTTTTTCGTAAAGCGATAAGCACCACCACATACCACGGTATATCGCTGGAATAGTGAATGAATCGCGCTACTTTTGTTGCTTTTTAAGAATTACTTTACAAACCTTAAATATGTTTTTAATTTTGTTATTTTCTTAGATCACTTTCGATGGATTCTACGGGTCAATAAATTCGATGAATAAAACATTACCTAAGGTATGTTTATACCAGATACTTTAAGAGGCTGTATGATCGAGACGGACGTTTCTTCTTATTTGCAAACATCATCATCGGGACAGGTAAAGCTTCGTACCTTTTCAAATTATTTACGAAAATATTACGTCGTTGCTTAAACAAATAGTTGGTAATATAATTTGCTTGTAAAAGTTAAAACTATAAATGACGCAATTCGGATATTACTAACATTGTCGTCAGGTATGAAAATTAATCTGGATGATCAGGAATCGAAATGTTGAATGCACACTTTTCTCATGCGTAATAAATAACAAAGTATAAATTTAGTTAAACACCGATGCTTGATATATACATACTTAAAAATTTATTTAATTCAAAATGTATCAATGTTTGTGGTTATTTAGCTTGCTCATTTTATATCAATAAATTGCATCTTGATAATGTAATAATTTAATTATTGCCGATATTGGCACTCGTACTTACAATTGGTGTTGTAACTGTATTTAGCGCTGTAGAAGCTCACAACGGGTCAATATCGGAAACGGAGACCGTGGAGGACTAAGTGCTCGTTGCTTGTGGGCTGTGAGCTGGTGGTAGGGTTCTACACGCAAAAAAAGTCTGTTGTTTGTAAAATGGAAAATCTTAATTTATTCTTCTAAATCAATTTCACCACCCTTAAGTAATCGCCTCCCGTTAAAATACATTTATGCCAACGATTTTTTCAATCCTCAAACATGCCAGATAGTTCTTTTACGTATAGCCATCAGCACCTTCCTCAATTTTATTAATCTCCTCAGTCGACTTAAAACGCGTTCCCCGGAGTGGTCTTTTGACTGAGCAATATCTGGCGAATACGGTGGTTGAGGAATGATATGCGTCGAAGTTTTGGCGAAATGGTCACGAAGAACGAGTGAATGTGAGCCAATGCACCTGATCGTGTTACCAAAAAAAAACCAAAAACCAAGTTGCTGTTGCCCATAATTCTGGTCTTTCTAGACGAATTGCTTCACGCAAACGACGAACAACTCTCAAATAATATTTCTTATTAACAGTTTAACCGGGTGGAAGGAATTCATAGTGCACTACACCATGAAAACTGATAAAAATACTAATTAGTAGTATAGGGGTTTTATAAATATAAGGTATAATATATACCCTTGCAGCAACCATATCATCTAATTAAAATCTTATGTATATTACAGAAACCGTATATTCGAAAGATTTTCATATTAAAATTTCGATAATTCCTAACACAGATAAATGATACAGTTGTCAAATTTAAAATAAAAAAATTGAAATTCTGAAGTCTTAAATTAATGCTAAACCCCTATAATTAATCCACAATTTTTTTTTCAATAATTTTCCGATTGTTCTGATAGCAACCCCCCCGACTAGATAAAAATATGTCAGAAGCAACGAATTTTTGAATTTTATGGGTCCAATAGTATTTTTAACAATTTTATTCGTAATTCTCAAATCGTAAAAAAGAGCTGTATCTCAGAGTTGAAGAAGTTACTTTCCCAAACATTCGGAGTTATAAGTTATAAGTCTGATCCAGCTCGTTTATACTGTACTATATAGAAGGAAGACTTTTGGGAAAATTTCATCCTGATTTAAGCGGAGATACTAGTATGCGTAGAAACGGAAAGACGGACGGACAGACGAACATGGTTAGATTGACTGGTCTCGTGATGCTGGTCAAGAATAACTATACTTCGTAGGGTCGAATAGTCTCCATCACAGCGTTTAAAACATTTTATTGAAATAATAAGGGTATACAAATTATAAAATAATATATTAAGAAGGTGTCTGTTTCACTTGACTTCCAGCTCGCGTGAACGTATGCAGAAGACATTTAACAGAAAATATATTATCTCTTCTATCTTTAATACACCAGGAAAAAAACGGTATCGGCAGTTTTGATTTCAGTATTTCCGTGCTCAACAGTATTAAATATAGAATTAAATATTTTTAAATGATTATAACTAATGTTACAAAATGATTGCAAAGAGATATATTTTTACCACATACTCGCAGAGTAAAAGGGTATATTAGATTCGTCGGAAGGTGTTTAACAGGTAGAAGAAAGCCTTTCCGACCCCATAAAGTATATATATTCTTGATCAGGACACCTAGCCGAGTCGAACTAGCCATGAGATCTCGGAAACTATAAACAATAGAAAGCTTTGCAGGCAGATTCTGGAGATTCTTGCGCAACGCAAGCTTATTTCAACAGAGTTTCACGCACACTCTAACGCCCATAACGTTAAAACCTGCCTAACGCTCAAATTTATTAATACTTTATAAAAGTGTAAATGTGACTTATTGATAAAAATAAAATAAAATTGTTCAGATCGTACCATCCATTAAAAAGTTATTAGACTTTTTGTTTTCTAGTTTTCTCAATGTATAAAAAAGTAACAAAACAATGTGCAGCATTCAAGTATATTACAATATATATATTACGGGCCTACCAGTTTTTAAGTCTACGAGTATGTTTGTTAAAGCCTGACTTCGATTATTTTTAAACACAATTTTCTATTAGTTTTATGCACCTGAACATAAGATAATCATTAGGAACAGTGACTAATTAAATATCTTTTTTACATATAGGATGAATTTCACCCTTTTATTGAGGCACTCTTACCCTACGTCAAATCATTTTCCTACTCTTGGTTTAATTTGCAAGCCGCTAAACGAAAGTATTATAAGAAGCACGAAAAACGTATGTCTTTGGAAGAGGAAAGACATTGTAAGGATGAACTGCAGGTATTTATTCAAGCAATTTTTTGAAACTATTTAATTATAACGTTTTTCTTCAAGAATGAAAAAACAGAGGTTAAGCAAAAGTGGGCTTCCCGTCTTCTTGGAAAACTCAGAAAAGACATTACGCAAGAAAGTAGAGAGGATTTTGTTCAATCTATAATCGGAAAACGAAAATCTATATGCGTTCTCTCAAATCCTGATCAAAAAGGAAAAATGAGACGCATAGACTGCTTACGACAGGCTGACAAAGTATGGCGGCTTGATTTGGTCATGGTTATACTGTTCAAAGCGATTCCCTTAGAAAGTACTGATGGTGAGCGGTTGGAAAAAAATCCGGAATGCTTACATCCAGGATTATGTGTAAATCCGTACCATATAAATGTTTCTGTTCGAGAATTGGACTTGTACTTGGCCAACTTTATAAACACTCATAATTCAGTTTCCAACACAAATTCAACTTTTTCAACTACTCCGGGAGTAAGATCGCCACACTTGGCTATATATAATCGAAATATTGATCCCGACAGAAAAGAAGAGGTCGTTGACATGAAGAATGAGAACGTTAGACAAAATCCATATAATGGAGTAGTTTGTAATGATATTATTTTAGCGACCGGAGTGTTTTCATCCCAAGAACTGTGGAACTTATCCAAAGGTACTATTGGTTTTTATCTATAATTTAAACCAGATTATGTAAGTAATCACATACTAGTAGCTTACAAAAAAATAAAACAAGAAAGGAAGCTAACTTTGGCAAGCCGAAGCTTCTATACCTATACTATATTCATATGTACAGAGCTTTCCAATTTTTAAAAAACTATAAACTAATTACGAAAATTTTTAGATAAGGTTTCATTTTAATTTACTACCGTCTATGTTTACCGAAAATGAAATATAACGAAATACATTTATTATTTTGACATTAATTATCCGAACGTTCTGGTGTCAGCTACATGATAAAGTCATCCGGTTTTTTTAAATTTATTCGAAATCCTAAAATAATTAAGGAATGATAACCCCTAGAGTAGAACTTAATATTTCACAAAACATCTAAGTTACAATTTTTTAACATTAAAAAAACTGTATTTTGTTATTTCTAAGTAAGACTTTTGGGAAGGTTTCATCCCGATGGCTTTAAAACTGAGAGACAAGTTTGCGTAGAAACGGACGGACATGACTTGATCGACTAGACTTGTGATGTGATCAAGAACATATACACTTTATGGGGTCGGAAACGACTCCTCCTGAGAATGATCAAAAAAATGTATTGCTTTCTTGTTTTAATTATTATTAAATGTTTTGAAATATTAAAAGAATGAAATTCCGTTATTTCATAGATATTTCCAAGGCCAAGTCGACTAAATAATCCGTTTTTCTAGGTAGGTGTAGTTAGACATCGAACATTTCAGGTACCAAACTTTTTGTATACCCTTGCAGAGGGTCAGTCAGAAGTTTGCAACGCAGTGAAGGAGACGTTTCCGACCCCATAAAGTACATATATTAAACTAGACGAGTCGATCTAGCCATGTCCGTCTGTCCGTCCGTTTCTACGCAAACTAGTTTTAAAGCTATCGGGCTGAAACCTTCCCAAAAGTCTTATTTCTTTTGCAGGTAGTATATAAGTCTGAACGAGCCGGATCTGACAACTATATTCTATAACTTCCATAGGAACAATCAAAAAAAAGATTTTAAAAATAATCTAAAAAATTATAACTTCGGCGTTTTTTGACTCATTAACTTCTACTTTTGGCAACATCATTCTTTTATTATTTCAAAATTTTGAATAAAATTAAAATAAGACAGGAAGTTAACTTCGGCAATCCGAAATTTGTATACCCTTGCTGTTATAATTATTAAATTTAATTCGAAATTATTAAAAATACAAAAAATGATATTCACAATAGTATAAGATAATATGTCAAACAAGAGAGGAAGTTAACTTCGCCAAGCCGAAGTTCGTATACCCGTGCAGTTATAATTATTAAATTTAAAAGTAGAAAAAAATATTCCCAATATTATAAGATAATATGTCAAAAACACCGAAGCTATAATTTGATTCACATTATTTTCCCACAAATTTTCCGATCGTTCCTATGGCAGCTATATGATATGGTCGTCCGATTTTGATAAAATTAAATTCGAAATTCAGAACTTATTAAAAAATGTTATTTCCAAGCGTATGAGGTTATTTGTTAAGAAACAACAAAGATATAATTTCTTAAAATTATTTTTTTGCTTATTCCTATGGGAGCTATAAGGTATAGTTGTCCGATCCGGCTGGTTCCGCCTTATATACTACCTGCAAAAGAAAGAAAACTTTTCGGAAAGTTTCAGACCGATAGCTTTAATACTGCAAGACTAGCTTGCGTAGAAACGGACGGACAGACGACCAGACGAACATGGCTAGATCGACTCGTCTAGTGATGCTGATCAAGAATATATATACTTTATGGCGTCGGAAACGTCTCCTTCACTGCGTTGCAAACTTCTGACTGAAATCATAATACCCTCTGCAAGGGTATAAAAACACAGAAGCTATGATTTGTTTCATATTATTTTCCGACCAATTTTCCGATCGTTCCTATGGCAGCTCTTTGATATAGTCGAAATTCAGAACTAATTAAAAAATGTTATTTCCAAGCGTATGAGGTTATATGTTAAACAAGAAAGGAAGTTAACTTCGGCAAGCCGAAGTTTGTATACCCTTGCAGTTATAATTATTAAATTTAAAAATACAAAAAATGATATTTCCAATAGTATAAGATAATATGTCAAAAAACACCGAAGCTATAATTTGTTTCATATTATTTTCCCACCAATTTTCCGATCGTTCCTATGGCAGCTATATGATATAGTCGTCCGATTTTGATAAAATTTAATTCGAAATTCAATACTAATTAAAAAATGTTATTTCCAAGCTTAGGAGGTTATATGTTAAAACACACCAAAGATATAATTAAAAAAGATATAGTTGTACGATCCGTCTGGTTCCGACTTATATACTACCTGCAAAAGAAAGAAGACTTTTGGGAAAGTTTTCAGACGGACAGCCGGACATGGTTAGATCGACTCGTCTAGTAATGCTTATCAAGAATATATATACTTTATGGGGTCGGAAACGTCTCCTTCACTGCGTTGCAAACTTCGGACTGAAGTCATTATACCCAGGGTATACAAAATCTGTCGACTTTATCATATAGCTGCCATAGGAACGATGGGATTGTCAATGTCAAAATAATATATAGACCTTTATATTTCGATTACGGTAAGCACACACGGAAGTAAATTGAAATGGAACATTATCTTAAAATTGTTGTAATTAGTTTTTATACCCGTTACTCGTAGAGTTAAAGGTTTTATTTGATTGGTCGGAAAGTATGTAACAGGCAGAAGGAAGCGTTTCCGACCCCATAAACTATATTTATTCTTGATCAGGATTACTAGCCGAGTCGATCTAGCCATGTCCGTCTGTCCGTATGAACGCTGAGGTCTCGGAAACTTTACGAGCTGCAATACTGGGATTAGGCATGCAGATTCCAGAGATTTCTGCGCAGCGCATGTTTGTTTCAGAAATGTGCCACGCCCGCTCTAACGCCCACAAACCGCCTAAAACTGTGGCTCTTACAGCTTTGATGCTAGAATAAAAATGTTAACTGAAATGTATTGTTCTCATCAATACCTATCGATTGACCCAAAAAAAGTTTTCCACGCCCACTCTAACGCGCATAACGCTTAAATCTGTCTATCGCCTACATTTCCTCATATTGAGATCACGGGTAGGTGGCGCATTTCAATCTCGCTTTGATGCTTGCATATCTCTATTTGCCTTTGGTCCTGTTAGCTGAGTAACAAGTATCTGATAGTCGAGGTACTCGACTATAGCGTTCTTCCTTGTTAGATTTCTAAAAATGAGAAAGCTTTGTACTTACCATGCTCTCACGGGAACGACTTGCAATGATATAGAAACTTCGGCGTGCCAAATAAAGTTGTTTAAATATTTAAAATAGTATTTAGAGTACAAGAATCATTGCTTTCAATACACTGAACAACGAAATTTACTTTTCTAAAAGGTGCAGGCCTGTGGGCATTATGTTAATATATACGTGGTTTATAACCATACCTGCATACTTAGTTTCTGGCCCTAACTTGGGGTACTTGTGAAATCGCGGTTTAAAAGAAACACTTAATGTTTTGTAAAAAAATGTCTTCGAGAGCTTCCACTCATTTTTATTGATGTGCATGTCAATAAATAGTGGTTATTATTCGGAAAAATACCCCTCTAAAGGCATGTAAAATACTATGGTGCTCATATTTTTCCTTGTATTTTTTAAATACTATTCACCACATACAATTTTTGGTGAATAGAGGTGACCGGATTACTTAAATGACCATAAATTGTGATCGACTTAATATATGATGATACCTTAATAGAAAATGTGTAGAAGGGCATCTGAACAATTTATTGACATTCACATTAATAAAATTGAGTACAAGCTCTGAAAGATATCTTTATTTGAAACATTAAGTGTTGTAATTTTTTCAAACAACGATTTCACAAATTTTACACGTTAGTATCAACAATTAAGTATGCAGAAATACTTATATACGTCTATATTAACACAATTTAAATCTATTTAAAAATTTCATTTTTGTTTTAAAATGCTGGATTCAAATAAAAGCCACAAATACGAAGTTGAAAGATAAATACAATCGAATATATTAATTTTTAAATGTTTATCGGCTATACTGTCTACGAAATGGTGATCAAGAAAGTTTAGGACTGGGGTACTTGGATGTGATAATGTTTCTAACTACAGTTATAATACAAGTGAAAAGAGCATAATAATAACCAAATATATAAACTTAACAATCAGCTTTATTATTTTGCTTATGTAAATGTATGCTTACAATCTGATCCGTTTCTGAAATTCCCTTTCTTTAAGTATTTGCACGAGCAAATATAAGGTAAAAATAATTTAATGACCGATTTTATTAGATTTAATTTTAGATGAAGTCCACGATAGTAACCTGAACTCTAACCTTATTAAGAGGGAGAATGTTGGAGCTGCGTATGAGTGCAGTACATATCAAATTAACCCTGAATCTTCAATTTCTGCCGCCCAGAGTCTGGTTCAGTCTGGAGCAATTGTGACTAATCCGATTCCACTGGGTTATAGTAGTACGTATACATATCCGAATATTTTTGAATATCTTACGAACTCTTTGATTAGTTGACTTTATAGATCAGAGGAGTATGCATTTATCGCAAAGTCCGTTGTTACGTACAGAAGGCACAAACGGTGATACCCAAGATGCTAACAAAATCGATCAAAGCAGTTCACCGCCCATCACAAGTACTCCATCAGACAATGGCAACAGTAGTTTTTCCCTAATTGTAAGAGCCACTGATAGCTCTAACGGCGATCAAAAAACATCAGCAGATTCAACTATTTCTCTGCACCGCTATACGTCTCTTAACAGTAGGCCTATCCCCCAAGGTATAGTAAAGGCATTTAACAAGTTGATTGAATCAGATTTTGAAAACAATTTAATTACAGCCTTAACACAACATAATTGCTCATCATTACATTCGACTTCCACCAGTCCAAATAATTCTGTGTATTACCCTCAGCACAACAATCCGCGACCATCTCAATCAACTTCCGTTGAGGAACAAAACCGTGTTGCTTCCGATAAATATTCAACGGAACCTCAAGATATTTCCGACTTTGTCACATATGTATGTCAAGACTCTAGTCACACGACAACAATAACCGGAGCTGTTGAAAACCATCAATTTCAACATTCTCATACACTCCCGCATTCACACGTATCACAAGGTCATTCGCCGCATTTTCAAATCCATCAGCAGCTGCGAACTGCAAAATTGGCGACATCGCCGTCAACTCATTATCACAGTACAATGCTTCCGCCGATGCTACCTCCGATGGCTCGACCTGTAGCTATAATTCGAAGCAGCAGTGATTTAACACTTGTCCAGTCACCACCTCCTTCTTTGTCGCTTACAAACCAATCTCCGAACCTTAACAACAACTGCATGGGAAAAAATGGCTTGGAACCGGATAATATTAGACTTTCAAGTACTCTAGACAATAGCAATAGCCCCGTTAGCACAGATGTTGTCGCACACCACGATATGACAGGGACTGCATCTCCTCAACCGTTGCACAACACACCGGCGTCAGCGAGCCCCCAATCTTATCTTGATCCAGGTCGTTGTAAACTTTTATCAGCTGGATCAAACATAAGCAGAATTACAACGCAAATGTATGCCCCATCTAATAACAGAGAATATTTTAATCACTTTCATTCCCAACCTACATCGGTAAGTAACAAGGTTCGATATACATTTAATACATGCAAACTTTATCTTTTCATATATTTTTCTTTGGGTGTGCCGCACCAATAGAAATGCCATTGAATTTTATTTTATTTGAAATTTGAAACAGAGTAAGGGGTATCTGATAGCCGAGGCACTCGACTATAGCGGTTCTTAGTGATTTTGATTTAAAAGTTTTAAAATGTCTCTTTAACTTTCCTATAAATTATATTTTTGTACGTTCCCTCCAGTGCAGGAATATTTAAAGATTCAATAAACTAACTCTTGAACAGGCCACATTAATCTATCTATGACAGAAACAATCGTCCATTAAGTCTAGTCCAGCTGGCATAGAATAAAGTGTTCCTTTTTCATTAGTTATCCGCATGGATTCGATTTGTTCAGCACATGTTTATACCCGTTACTCGTAGACTAAACGAGTATATTCGATTCGTCGAAAATTATATCTAAAAGGTAGCAGCCAGCGTTTACGACCATATAAAGTACTCTTGTTCAGGGTCACTAGCCGAGTCGAACCAGTCATATTCGTCTGCCCGTCCGTCCGTATGAATGCTGAGATCTCGGAAACTATAAAAGCTAGAAAGGCATACAAATTCTTGAAGTTTATGCGCAGCGCAAGTTAATATCAGCAAAATTAAAATTGGTTTAAAAGAGACTTTGTTCTGATTATCAATTATCTACATGCCGATTTCCTGCATGCATATCTCCGTCCCACTTGCATTATCTTTAGCTGAAATCGGGTATCTAATAGTAGAGGCCGTCGACTTTTGTGTTCTTTCATGTTATTATATAATTAAATGCATTTTTAATTTTTGCCGTTAAAAGCAACCATTGCTAGTTTTGTGAAAGGATTTCCGGCAAGCATGCGTCCTCGAATTATTTTCGAATTTTGTTGTTATACCCTTCAGAATTTCGAATAAAATTTAAACAATCTGTATATACTATGTTTCCATGTGAACGACCTGCAAGGGAATAGAAACTTCGTCCTCCCGAAGTTATTTTCCTTTTTTGGTTTTTTTTTTTAATTTTATGACAAGCCTAGTTGGGTTCCAGTTAATCGTTCCGTATTTTGGTCCTTAATTATTGTTGGTGTTGGGCTAGTACTAAGTCTTTTTATACCCGTTACTCGTTGAGTAACAGGGTATACTAGACTCGTCAGAAAGTATGTAACAGGCAGAAGCAAGCGTTTCCGAAAAAATTTTGCCACGCCCACTCTAACGCCCATAACGCTTAAATCTGTCTACCGCCGGTAGGTGGCGCATTTTATTCTCGCTTTGCTGCTTGCATGTCTCCATTTCTCTTTGGTCCCATGAGCTGAGTAGCGGGTACCTGATAGTCGAGGTTATCTACTATATCGTTCTTCCTTGTTATGTTATTGTTATTATTATTGTTGAACGTTGATGCACTAAGAGCAGTACAAACGACACCAAGCAAGTGCTTGTTACGCGAGGGCCCATTTTTCATTCCGGCAATTTTTTTTTGTGCCTTTATTTTTTTTTAGCTTTGATCAGCCAACCTAGTAGCTATAAATGGCATGTAAATAACAAAGGAAAAAAAATAACACAAAACATAAAAGAAATAAGGATCATTTCGGGCAAATACTGTTCGTGAGAAAGGTACATAGAAAAAATAAACACAGGACAAAAAATAGATAAAATAAGACTGAAGCAAGTTAAGATTTTAGTTTTTAATACAGGGATAGAAGTTGAGGAACAAATTAAACCACCTAAGGCAAAAAGATGAAATTGTTTCTGTACGGACTCTAGACGGCCAATCTGCACTTGATACTGTGGATTTCAGTTATCTAAACTAAAACGGACAAGGGCGGTAAATAATAATTTGGTAGTGTATGGATCATTAAATTCTTCAGACCAACGCTTTATAAACCCAAGAACACTCATAGCTGTATTTACAGTAGAGGTTATGTGGGAGTCAAATTTAAGTTTTGGATCCAGGAGAACACGTAAATCGTTACATGAGTATATTCGGCCCAGAGACATGTTCTGAAGAGGGTAACCCATAACGTTGCATTTAAGATAGCTTAAATTCAAAAGGTTGTACTGACACCATTTTTTGAATCTATTAATATCTGACTGAAAGCAGTCTGGTTTACTCAATATTATTAAATGATAAATAAAGCATAACATCATCAGCGTACATTAGTACTCGAGAGTGAGCTACGATAGAGAAAAGATTATTTATGAACACAGTAAACAGCAAAGGGAGACTGATCTGGGGCACTCCAGATGTCACGTAGATCATCTTGGAAACAGCGTTTTTGAACATAACCCTCTGAGCTCTACGATTAAAATAATTTAAAATCCAAGTTAACAAATTATTCGGAAACCTGAGCTGATCTTATTTGAATAAAAGAGGAGAGTGGTTTACAGAGTCAAAGGCTTTCCTAAAATCTGTTTATATAACGTCTGTCTGTATTTTATTGTTAAATCTACCTATTACAAATAATGTCAATTCTAGCAGGTTAGTGGTGTTTGATCTTCGCTTGAAGCACACATGTAAAATTAGTTTATTATTCTAAGGCTTGGTGACAAGGCTCTAATAAACGCTCCCACGTAATTCAACACTATGGCCACGAAGGCTATTCTAAGAAGAATAAATAAAAAGTTAAAGATTGGTAACGAGACAAGACCGTGCAGTCATTTGCGGGTCAGGAAAACCCTCCTGCTACATTAAACAATTTTGCGCCCAACGTGGAGGTGGGTAGCCAATTCAAAAACAAACAAGAGAGAACGCTGTAGTTGATGCCATCAACTATCAAATATCCGTTACTCAGCTAGGGCGAGTGCGAGGAGGCTAGACATATTCAAAGCAGAAAAGCTTTGGCTTATAACCTTCTAATGAATATTCTGATTTCAAAAATTAATGTCATTTAGATAAATATTAATAATAAAAACCAAATCCGATTTACTTTTTTTTCACAATCACAAAGTGGCACCCTGCTGAATTAAACTTGCGATGCGAAAGAAGCTCAAAAACCTACTAGCCAAATCCAAACTTTTTAGCTTCTATAGTTTCCGAGATCTCATCGTTCATACGGACGGACATGGCTTTATCGACTCGACTAGTGATCCTGATGAAGTATATATATACCTTATAACGCTTCCCTGTACCCTATAACAGGTATAACAAGAAAGGAAGTTAACTTCGGCAAGCCATAGTTTGTATACCCTTGCAGTTATATTTATTAAATTTAAAAAAACAATATCCCCAATAGTATAGGATAATATGTCAGAAAACACCAAAGCTATAATTTATTTCATATTATTTTCCTACCAATTTTCCGATCGTTCCTATGGCAGCTATATGATACAGTCGTCCGATATTGATAAAATTAAATTCGAAATTCAGATCTAATTAAAAAAAGCTGTAATTTGTTTCATAATATTTTCCCACCAATTTTCCGATCGTTCCTATCGTTGCTTTATGATATAGTCGTCCGATTTTGATAAAATTTAATTAGAAATTCAAAACTAATTAAAAAATGTTATTTCCCAGCTTAGGATGTTATATGTTAAAAAACACCAATGATATCAGTTTTTTTCTGATTATTCCTATCGGAGCTATAAGATATAGTGTTCCTATCCGGCTGGTTCCGACTTATATACTACTTACAAAAGAAATAAGACTTTTGGGAAAGTTTCAGCCCGATAGCTTTAAAACTGAGAGACTAGATTGCGTAGAAACGGACGGACTGACGGACACGGCTAGATCGACTCGTCTAGTCATGCTGATCAAGAATATATATACTTTATGGGGTCGGAAACGTCTCCTTCACTGCGTTGCAAACTTCTGACTGAAATCAATATACCCTCTGCAAGGGTATAAAAATGATTAGTGTTTGAATCAACCTGATCGCTTTAAGTGAATTTCATAAGCACGCGAATAACGTTACGATCCGCGCGAAGTCGCTATGTAACACAGCTCGCCGTTCAAATAACGCGTTACACACACTCTCATTCGTAGATAGGGTGGCATACCCCGATGGCGTCGTACCCAGTCAGCTATGCCACATTCACTCGTAAGCATAAACGTTGCAAAGGTGACCGTAAAAAATCAACTTGGGGACGACGTGCCCAACTTAATGACTCTGATTCAGGACACGCAACCAAGACCGATACTCGCGCTTCCGATCTTTGCCGGAGAATACTCAGAAATACTTACTTCACGTAAGTGGTAGACGATCAGGAATCGATTTCGCCAATCGAGACGTTGCGTTTCTGACAGTTTATAAGATGATATAATGTTCCAATTCACCCCGGAAAATCACAGAAAGGATTTACTTCGCCTTAATACAACATCGCGTTTCTACTCAATTTGCAGGGCAGTCTGGTTGACAAAGCGACAAAACTTTCCTCTTCTAATGCTTGCTTAACCTTGATTGAGTGTTACTGACCCACTTCGAGTCCTTAACAATACCTCGGCAAAAAGCGACAACCGCAAGGTTCACGCACATGTTTTACGCAAACGTGTCGTATCTGCTCTGGCAGGGATCATAGGATATGTCCAGCATGTCTGGACAAAATCTCTATGTACGAACGGCCTTGGATGGGCTCAAAACTGATCATCCTGATATGTGTAGAATATGCTCAAGGCTGCATTACACAATGCATCACTTCGACCCGTCCTTCCAGGAATCAAGATAACCACCACGACCAAATTATTTCCGCCTACAGCCATAATACTGATGCAGGTCTGTGTGTGTAACTACGTACTACGACGGCCCCTCCCAACAACGTCGCTTTCCCCACTCGCACCAATCATCGTACGTCGACCGTTGTTAAGTCAGGATTTGATAAGGCGGAAAAAGTTGACATATTTTCATGGAACCTGTCAGGACATGCTTCGCTGGCTGTTGGCCATATTGATCTACTTGTTGGCACCGAAACTTTCTTGCCCACTTTGTCCGTTGGGTAAATCAAGTTGGTTCCCAATGCTCCAAAATATGATCTTTGGATGAGATGTAT